CTTTTAGCCATAAATGAGTCCAAACCAGTGGTCGGCTCATCGCTAATACATTCAAACAGATTATCATTATTTAAATCATAAGATAATTATATTTTAGATGTATTTCTGACCAAAACATTAGCGAAGGGTTTGTGAGGACTTCTGAAGCAATGGACAGTCTTTTCATTTCTCCGCCGGAAATGCCTTTAAAATGATTTTTGTCTCCAATCCTTGTTTCCGCACATTTCGCTAAATTAAACTAAATATTGAAATTAATTTATAAAAATAATTATTGAATATAATATCCGGATAATTTATATAAACCTTATCTATAACCCGTTGAATGCAATCTTGTTTCTCATTATTACTCAAATTCCTATCCATTGTTAACAATACCTTAAAAATAAAATATTTGTCACAATATTCTGTTTATAATAAATATTATCTTAAACCCAATGATAAATACCTGAAACATGAGGTGCTCTCTGACTGTAAGCATGGGTTGAAACAAATCGTGTTGTTGTATATACGAGGACATGGATGCAATGGTCTGTTGACTGACTGTCTGCCCATTCATGAGTACCACTCCATTGACGGACAGTTGCCGTAAATTTCTTGTCGTCAATACATTCAATAGAGTCGTCTTTCCGGCGCCACTGAATGTCACAACAAATTCAAAATGTTTTTAAAAGTAAATAATTAGTGATAAATAAAACAAATCAAAACTATAGTCGTAATCATGGTACACATAAAATTATTATATATTTAATTCAACATGATGTAATAAATATAATGTTTATTGTGTATATAAATGTGTACCTTGCGCCCATAATTGCCAATAAACTTCCAGCGTTAACAGAACCAGACACTATTAATAAATTATTTTGCTATACCGTACTTGTACTAGTATAAATAATATTTTTTGTAAAATATAAGCTATAATACCGTTACGAATGATCTCTTTCGGTAATTTTTTAGTTTGAAAGCAATTATACATAGATTTCTGTGTTTTAGTCGACACCCGGATATTAGTCCACGAAATACGCACCGAATGTATGGTCTCTCCCGGACTCCTATTGTCGGCGTTTAGTTCAGACATTTTGTTGTATTAAATTATTACCTAGACTTAAAAAATTAGGTTATATTTTATATGTAGTTGAATTTTTAATAGCGTTGTACATCCTATTCAAATAATGACTATTAAGTTATTTAATAAATGCTGACTAATTATAATATTAGTTAAATACAATTTATTTGTCAATAAATTGAACAATGATAATAATCAGTATCTGAAATAGTCAAAATAAATTTTAATCAATAATCTTAAAACTATCCTAGTACAATCTTAAATAAAAAGGTTAAACAAATTTTGACCCAATCACTAAACCAATTGGTTTACAAATAGTCTTTTTAAGTCTAGCTCATTTAACTTTAATAATTATTTTAATAAAGTCCATCAATAAATATTTAAGTTATTTATTTACCGAGAATTTTTATAAACACACTTTTTAATTGGTGTTGAATGTACCAGTAGATTTGTTTAAATATTATACATAGATAGCTTAACTTGTAAAAAATTAGGTCAATTTATAGGTTAATCGAAAGGGACCCGCATTTTATTTTATATTTCAATGTAGTTTTTATAATCAAGACAATTTTTTAATGAAAAATGTTAGAAGAATAGTGGTGATATTAATTTGCAAAAATAGTATGTTATAACATTTATATTATGTAAATTCATATAACCCAAAATAATAGTCTATTCAATGAAAATAAACTAAAAATAATACTCTAATAATAATCCATTGAACACTTCAGTAAACATTAAAAATTTTATTAAATTTAAGATAAAATTTTGAAAATATAACTAACGTAACACACTATCTTAATAATAACATAAACTTGATTATAAATAGAATAATTAAATTATGCATAATTAACTATACTAAATAGATACAAGTTAAATTCTTTTTTAATTGACAATTATCTAGATAAAACAAATTGCAATCAAACGAGCCACTTAGATTAAAATATGTCCATGACAATAATCATGGTAATCACTAGCGCCGCTCGACACCCACCACCACCCTATCGGCCAAATATAGCACAGGGTTTGAGACTATACGCAACGGCACGTCGGTGTCCGGGCTGCGCACAAACTTATACTGCCTAATGACCATGGTCAATGCCACCTTGATCACCATTATGACAAATCGATAGGCTATGCACACGCGGGGTCCGGCCCCGAACGGCATGTAGGCATTCCGCTGGAGTAGGTGTCGCTGATCAGGCATAAATCGATCCGGGTCAAAAACGTACGGGTCCTTATAGTACTCGGCCATATGGTGCATGGCGTGTATGGGCACCTGCACCCGTTGACCCTTTTTCACGGTGATACCGGTGTCGCCCAGCGTGTAGTCCCGGTCGGCGCGCCGGTCGATCCGGTAGTTGAATCCGTGGCGTCTGAACGTCTCGGACACCACCGCCTCGAGGAACGGCATTTCCATTAGCGTGTCGTACGGTATGGTGTGTCCGTCGTCACCCACCGGCGCCCCCATAACTTCGTCGTACAGTCGCTGTTGGATATCGGGGTTCAGCGCCAACTCGTATGTGGCGTACGATAGGGGCGTTCCAGTCGTGTCGTAGGCGCCCGAGAGAAACACATACGCGTTGGACATCAACTCGTCATCCGTCAGGTATAGGTCGCGTGTTTTGGGCGACTGTTCACTGTCTGTACGTTCAATAAACAGATACATATGAAATAGGTTTTATCAATTGGATTAAAATGCTTAAACATTGATAAGTTAATAATAACTCATATGTTTTTATGCGTACGCTGTTAGTTTAGAGATTTTGCTCTAGATGATTAATTTTTAAATGTTAGAGCATGTTCATTTAATTGATAAAACCTATGCAATATACACTGGATATAAACCTTTACTTTCAATTAATCTGCACTCAGTTCTACCTTAAAAGTCCTTTAACCGAAAGGACGTAAACTTAAATAACTAACTGCCCAATAGACAACTAAAATTACCATTGGTCAGTTAGTTATTTGAGTTTAGGTCTTTTCGGTTTCAGGTCTTTTAGGTGAGTCCCCCAACACTCACCATCTCCGCGACGAGTGTCGGGCGACGTGTCGATCGGACTGCGATTGGCGGTCACCAGCGCCACGATGTAATCGTCACGCGATCCGCCGTCGACGTCGCGAATCGCGCGGCGAATCATTCGGAAAAAGAAGTCAATAGTGGTGTCACGGGTGGGATGGGCGACGCCCAGCGCCCGGCGCAACCATTTCGGCAACAATAGGATGGCCAACAATCGGGCGGCTTTTGGTCGCACGTTGTCCTGAGCCATGCGGCGGAACGTGTCGTCCGGCAGCGGTCGCAGCTGTTCGCCCGACTCGAGCCCGAACTCTGAGCGCATGACTACGTCGACCCCGTAGTTGCCGTAAACGCGGCGTCCGTCGAACGGTCGCCCGGCGTCCGCGTACGCGCCCAACGCCTGCGCCAATTCGGCGCCGCATTCGACGACTTTGCCGTATATTCGGAGCATATGTTTGGCGGAAAAGGAGGGCGTATTGAGTCGCCGTTGGCGGCGCCACGCGTTGCCGCTCGCGTTCGACAGACCCGTGTCGAGCACGTG